AGTTATTGTTTCTTCCACGTGGACAATACCTTTCTGGTAGCTGTGATGTTATCCTTCGAGTGAAGGAGAGCAATACACCTACATAAACTGGTCCTACAGAGGCCAAACTATTGCGTATCCCGTACATTGCTTTGGCTTTTGTTTGTTTGGGGCTTGGCTACCGAAAGATGTTTTTTCCATAAAGCAAAACAACATTGATATTTACCACACCTTTAACTTTCTTGTTGCATTATCTTGGAGGTAGATTCCAGTAACCTTTACTGGTAGGGAGTCAATAGTGTTGCCATTTTCAAAACCTTAAGGAGCTTCTCCAGCACCACCAGCGGTCTGGAAATTAATCTCTAAATCTGCCAGTGGGTTTGACATTATTGCACAACCTTAAATTACACCTACTGCCTGGTTTCTAAAATAATGCTGTTTGAATAGAAGAGTGAGCAAAACAAAAAACCCACAACAAGCCTGAAATAAAGAGACAGAGGGAGATGCAGATAAGAGCAATTATTTGCAATATGCAAATTTGGAAAAGTCAAACATTCTTGAAATTTGCACTGTCAACACTTAAGAAGAGAACAGACATCTACTTAAACCAGTGGAGTTTTTCAACTATGCACTTGGTTTTCAAATTTCAGCTGCACGTTCAGTCAGGGCCACACCTGCGTATATCTGATCAGCCACTCCTACTTTCTTGACTCTTATTTTCTCAAAGTTTGGCCCTCCACTTGAGTAACATGATCTCACTGGAAAGACTATTAGAATTCTGCTTACAGGTGGCTGAAAGTTAACATTTGTCTAATCGGGTTTATACTTAAGTGATCTATGTCACGCGAATGAAGTAAGCATTCCAAATATAGGAGACACTGTTCTCCTCTCTTCAGTTGCCCTTAAATTCTTTGAAAACTTTTTGAGAGAGTCTCTCTCAAGATTACCTGGCTTTCTGTCTCAAGAACATGTATGATCTACTTACTCTTCTATGGAGGATAGCCTTCATCCTACAGTACTACACTCTCATTGCCTGAAAATCAATATATTTTCTCATCTTTCCTCCAAATAAACCAGATGCTGTTGAGCTGCTACAATCTTCTATGACGAATATATAAGTAGCAGATCACCAGGCCTTTCTTCCTTGTCGCCTCCGGTGGAGCTTAGACCTCATACTTCTGTGTTAGCAACTATGTGTTCGCTGTTTGCATCATCCAGGGGCTCCTTAGGCCACAGTGGCCCTTGAGCATTGACTCATGGGTA